GGGAAACAAAACAGAATAAAATCAGAAAAACTGAGTATGAGTGGCAGCAGAGTGAAACGCGAAGTATTAGGCTTGGGCTTTTAGGTTTCCAGCAGGTTTCTTTACTAAATTTTTCTAACTGATCTTTGAACTATATCTTTATTTTGTTTACAGGATGTGATTACTGAGAATGAATTTGAGAAAAAATTGCTAGCTGATGTTATTCCTCCACGTGATATTGGGGTCAAATTTGATGATATTGGAGCTTTAGAAAATGTGAAGGACGCCTTAAATGAATTGGTCATGCTTCCCCTTCAGAGGCCTGAATTGTTTTCCAAAGGACAGTTGACAAAGGTGGGATTTTGGGAATCTTTTCTTTTGTTTGCCATGTGCTTGCTTTCTAATTTCTAACTACAATTACTTTATGTATAGCCTTGCAAGGGAATATTGCTTTTTGGGCCCCCTGGTGTTGGAAAAACAATGCTTGCAAAGGCTGTAGCTACTGAGGCTGGAGCGAATTTCATCAACATCTCAATGTCCAGCATTACCTCAAAGGTGTTAATTTTTATTAATTATTATTATTTTGTGTTATATTGTCTTTTTATTTGCTTTAGTGACATGATGCATACTCTTTGCAGTGGTTTGGTGAAGGAGAGAAGTATGTCAAAGCAGTATTTTCTCTGGCAAGCAAAATTGCTCCGAGTGTTATTTTTGTTGATGAGGTTCGTGTAAAAGCTTCCTATGTATTTTTCAGTGAAATATTCTATGTTAGTGTCTCTTGTATGATGGGAGTTCTTAGGATGTGATTAGTTCCAATGTCTGAATAACTCTTGTTATCTTGTCATTGTATGATTAACTCTTATTATTAACTGCTAGGTTGATAGCATGTTAGGAAGACGTGAAAATCCTGGTGAGCATGAGGCTATGCGTAAAATGAAGAATGAATTCATGGTGAATTGGGATGGTCTATGCACAAAAGACAATGAGCGCATACTCGTACTTGCTGCTACAAATAGACCTTTTGATCTTGATGAGGCTGTTATTAGGAGGCTTCCACGGAGGTAAGCATGTTGTGTCTGATATCATCATCTATAAAATGCTTCATAGGTAATCTATTCTAATTTTTTCCTCTATATTTCTGGGTAATTTGCAGATTGATGGTCAGTTTGCCAGACGCTCCGAACAGAGAAAAAATTCTTAAAGTAATTTTAGCAAAAGAAGATTTGGCACCTGATGTCGATTTGGAGGCAATATCAAACATGACTGATGGATATTCTGGGAGTGACCTAAAGGTAAGGGACTCATGCTATGTTTTGGCTGTTGGTCATCGGAAAAAAGTAGCTTTTGCCTGCAATAATAGAAACACCATTTATGTTTTGGCTGCAGAATCTCTGTGTCGCAGCAGCTCACTGTCCAATAAGAGAGATATTGAAGAAGGAAAAGAAGGTCATTTTCATACAACGTTGTGTCACCTAGAAGTATTTTGGCTAGCTTCTTTTGTTGTTTATCCTCCACTTCATATCTTTAATACAAAGTGCTCATTAAAATCTTGACAAGTTGACCGTATTAATTAATTTTGTCGAATACTTTGCAGTTTCCTCCAGACTGTGGATATTGTATATTTTCCTAGTTCATTGCTTGAATTAACGTTTTGACATTCACCCATGTTTCAGGAGAGAAGTTTGGCGCTGGCTGAGAGCAGACCTTTACCTCCATTGTATGGCAGTACTGACATTCGGCCCTTAAAGATGGAGGATTTTAGATATGCACATGAGCAGGTATATGGCATTCATTATCCCAGGTTTTCGTTTTTTGGTCAGTCAATTTGTTTTCGGATCCAGGTAAGCCAAGCCTTTTGTGCTGTCATTGTTTCGGGGAATGGGGTGGGGGTGAGGTTGAGGTTTTGGGAAAAACTCTCATACTGGCTAACCAGAAATAGTGTGTGGCGAGTAGAATTCGCGCCAAATCTCTGCTTTTCCAAACCCCTTTAAAAGTCTCGCCCCAAGTCTCTGCTTTTCCGGATCCCTTTAAAAGTGGGATGGTCTGTTTTCATTTTACTCTCGTCCAATTGCTTATAATGGTTGGGATTAGTTATGCGTATTAAATATTCTTCCTTTGCGTAGGTGTGCGCAAGCGTGTCGTCAGAGTCAGCAAATATGAACGAGCTGCTCCAATGGAATGAGCTCTACGGGGAAGGTGGATCCAGAAAAACGAGATCGTTGAGCTATTTTATGTAAATCTGTGTATAGCATCATCTTTTCTTTGCTTAGGCTATCTATAGCCTTATATGGTGTGAAAAGGTTAGTGACCCGTTAAATTCAATCACGGGAATTCCTTCTTCGAGCTTACCCCGACATCACTACTTACTTAGCTGCCATCCTCACTGCCAAATTTTGGATACCCTGTTAGAAATATATAGAATTTCACTAGCCATAAGTTAAATTAGGGCTTGTCCTTTCTCTCCCTGGATCCTTTGGGCTGTCCTGTTCTGAGCTTGTGATTGTAAATATCAAGTTAGCTAAGATAATTAAGTCGATCTATTCCCCAGGCTAACGCCATATACTCAAGATGTATCTTGTACTCTGGTGTTCGAAGATTAAGTAAGATTTCGCCGCACATCCAGTGACAGTGAGGAAAGTACGGTTTGCTCATTTATAATTCAGTAAAATACATCAATCTTTCCTCTGTTAATTTAAATTACTTTTTATTTTAAAAACTCACACCAACCGTGAGATTTAAATTTTACCTATACCAACTTTGACTTTTATTTTGATCAAAATGCTCATTCTTAACACAGATATTAATAATTATCATGTGGTCATATGACATGTCTTTGTCCGAGATAAAAAAGTAAATACATATTTTAGTGTTTTTTATTCAATTGATTACCATATCACAAATTTAACTGATTTAATAAATATAAATTTTTATTTTTCAATAAATTCTTGTTTATTTATCAAGTCCTATTTTTAATGTAATTAAGGGCAAATTCTAAACAAAATTTATTAGAATATGATTTTAATTAGAAAATATACTTTAAAATTATTTTTAGAATATTCTTTAACAGGACTGATGGTTTAAATTAAAATGTACGTTTTCAAAGTAGAAATAATATCTATGTAATTGAGACAAAACCAAAGAGTGGGTAAAATATTTTATTTTTTTAAGAATTAATTAGAACTTTTCCGTCTCCTCAACATCCCCAATATAAGGGGGTGTTTGGATGGAAACCAAATCATGGTTTCAAAAGTGCTTTTACGGTTTATGAAGTAAATATGTGGAGTTTGTCTCGTTTTGCGAAAAAGTGCTTATGAGAAACACTTTTGAGGGTTGCCAAACACCCCCTAATTAAGATTACCATTAGTCTTAAGTCGTTTTATCGACTCTTCTGCTTTGATTATGATTTTGTTTTAAAGAAAAAAAATGGCTCTCTGCATGTTGTTAGTCGGTTTAATAATCTAGTCTGTATACTTTAAGACTGATAAAAGCCTCCATTTCCTACTATACAAATATATAAATATATATATCATCAATATATATACACATATACATGTATGTATTTTGATGAATTTTTAACTACCATTACCATCACATGTCAAACGATTATATATTTTTTGCAAACATGTTGCTTTTTTTTTTTTGGTAAGATGTAAACATAGTGCTTTGTTTATACTACTCTCAGTTCTTAATATAAAATTTAACTGATATATGTTGTATTCCTCAAAATATTTTTATTAATAAAGTATATTAGTTAAAATACCATTTGATGAAACTTTTTAAAATTTATAACTACGACAATGACTACTTAAAAAAATAAATAAATATAGGAGATGAAGTGAACTGATATTTTATATTTTGGATCAAATTGAAATCAGTAATATATTAAGGACATGAGGTAGTAATATATTACGGAATACGAGGTAGATATGTGCGAGGGGTATTATATCGACGTACATAAAACATGCTTATAAGTAATTTTAAACATGATTCTAAATGGAGTTTTAATTGTTTGAGCTTATTGACATCGAGCCTATCACCCAGTGAGAATATAATGCTACTCTTATTATCACCTTAGATCCGTCTAATAATTCTGTCGGGATGAGGTGTTTTAAATACTTCGGAAGCATACGAAGTTTTAAATACAATCAAATAGTATCCGCTTAATTTTGAATTATTCCGCTAATTAATTGTAGGGACGTCCATATTTTGCAGACCCAGCGTGCAACAATTAAGAAGTTTCAGGTCTCATCTGTTTACTTTTATAGAGTTCTTATTTACAAATCTTAATTTGATTTGCATTAAATTTCCATGAATGTATAAGATGAAGATGTAAAACTGTCCCATACATATGCCAAAAGTAAATACATCTTACCGTGGAACAACTAAGATTAGTCTCGTCCTCTGCCATTGGCAAACTCCAGTCAGAACTATCCACATGGTGCAAAATTAAGGACAAAGAAAGCTTAATACTCGAGCAGATTATAAAATTTAGAGAGTATTTTGCTACTCTATCCTATAAAGCTTAATACTGTAAATTTATTAATAGGTAAATTTTATAACGTGAAAGAAATCAGAATTTACAAGAGCATGTGGCACACAGATTTTTAGACAATTTATTTCGGATACGACATTAATCCTTCTCCAAAAATTGGCCCCCATTAAGTAAATCCAGGGATTACTGAAAATCAGAATCAGAATTGAGACATGAATGAAGATTGTTGCGTTCCGCTTCCCGCGGACGATTCATTAAATATCTGGTCACGTAGGGAAGGTAATTGGAATCTCAGTCATTTTCAATGAAATAAACAGTAATACTGGCGAGCGGAAAGAATGGACGTGAACGTGACGTGAGGGGGGAAAGTGCGCGACGCAGTTCGTCAATTGTCAATTTCGGGAGAAGCGCGTGTATTTTGACTTGTGGAAAGGAAATATTATTAGTTTTGAGTAATTTTGTAATTATTATAACAACAAGCGTCGTCGGACGTGAATGAGCCAGCACCATCAAATGAGCTAGTTAAGGCAGATTCTCTTCCCCTGGGGGCTAAAGCTTCCGTTAACCTTCGATAACCATCGTTCTTGCTGCTAATTGTCGTCTCCGTCGCAGATTATGGAGTCTATGTCCCACTCTTCGACCTTTCTTCTGCCTGTGATTCCGCCGGAGAAGAACCGCCCTTCCTTAACCAACGCACTCGTTATTCTGAACCAGCGTCTACCGAGATTCGCTCCTCTGCTTTGGGAGCACGGTACCTTGTTCCTGCCCCTCAACTCTCTCCCTTTTATTTTGTGGATGGAGTTTGATTTCTTTTCAGTTTAAATTCTCTGAGGTTTAATGTATTTTTATTCTTTCATTGCCGCTTTGTGTTTTTCTGTACCATAGCACATACACGAGTTTGCGCTGATGGAGGTGCCAATCGGTTGTACGATGAAATGCCTCTGCTCTTGCCCCATGAAGATGCCTCATATGTTCGAACCAGGTTCATTTTCTACTTCGAATGGTTTCTTAGCTAAATGACTAATTAAACCAGATAATTTTCACGCCATTTGCCTGTCTAGTCCTTCGTCTCTCTTCGCCTAACTTTTTTTTTTGATAGTGTGATACTTTCTTTCTGGTGTATTTTGAGTGATTGTTTTGTATATCTAAGGGATAACCTGCCTTTGTGCCTTAACAATTAGTTTTTCCCACCGAATGGTGCGAGGACAATGGGGTATATTGGAATGAAGTTTTAACCACTTAATCTTCCATGTAGCGGGGGACGGAGCAGTGAAATTATGCTAGGGATTTCTCTCTAGTAAAACATGCCATATTTTGAGCAATTGGGCTTTGAAAACTTATATAGCCAATATGGTTAGGCTAGTGAGAAACCATGTTTTGAAATTACATTGATTAAAGGGGTAAATAACTCTAGTAATCATTAAGTAATTTATAAAGTTAAGTCTTAAATACATTCCCAAATAAGGTACCTTCAGGATCTTCTGAGTTAAGGCAGATTGGTTGCCCTAGGTCTTGAACGCCTGAAGCCAACATTTCAAGAATTTGCTATCGTGAAGTGATTAAGATGCTTGGCATTAGCTATGGCTTGTGTTATTCATGAGGAAGAAGAAGCAAGCTGATTTGATTCCTAAGTCTTTGTTCTTTAAGTCTTAGTTCTTAGTCTTCTCACTGCATCTGCATTCATGTTTTCATTGCATCTTGGATGTTTCATTTGTAAATTTTGGTTCCTAGTAACTAGGTTAACTTAGGGTACTAGTTGTAAATACATGCTAACTGGTCTTGTGCATATTCTTATACTTGTGCATACTTGAAATACCTGTACATCGAGAATATAAATGAGAATAATCTATATAAGAATGAAACTTTACTTATTATGTTATTTCCTGTTCAACTAATGCGCCTGTTAACTTGTACATATCCAAGATACTGACATCAAAATTTTAGCTTGATTCATAAAAAGCCTGAGAATCCTCTCATGCAGATTTCTTGAATGTTATTATGTACTTCTTGTTGTTGTTGTTGGTTTTCTATGCCTGAATTCTTTCAGTTGGTTGGATTTTTCTGCTTTTAGCTTTCTTCTCTACTTCTCTATCTGACCAAAGAATATTTTGGGATGGTTGCTTTCATGATAAGATGGTTTTGATACTATGCTGAAGCCTTTTTAGCACGATCAAATGATGATTGGGATATGGTAGTTTCATAGTGTGGGACAAGAAGGCTAAGGATTATGAACTCTTATAATAAATTTATTATATACATCCCTCTGATGTTTGTGATTGATAAATTAGTCAGTGACTTGCTGAGAGGTTTGGAAGTAACTGCTGGTATGAATTTGAAATTTTGTATCTATTCTGGCGCAGGTTTTCTCAAATGCTACTGGTACTGTTAATGTTTTAGGTGATAGAATTGGAAAATGCAATTGAAATGCAAGATTAAAAGAGATGTTGTTTTTAACTTTCAAAATCCTTTTCCATTTTTTTTTTTGCTATGATTGAATAAAGAAATGGAAAAATCAATTCCTTTCTATTCTAATTATGGACGCTTAAATTGTAAGCGCAGCCTTAATCATTGCAGATTATTATTTGACAATGTTTAGGAAGTTATATGGCTGTGCATATTTATATGGTTTTCTGATTGTTGTGCCAGAACAAAAATATCCACGCTATCATCTTAGAAAGTCATTGTGCTGCAAGTGTTCAATAGATATATTACTCCAACCATTGTTACTCACAGACAATGCCCTCGCTTCTTTTCTGTTTATTTGTTTCGAATCATAGGATTGAGTTACTGGGTACCATATTTGATATTTCATCCATCTCATCTCATCTGTATTATGCTTACTGTTTCACTGACATGAATACGCAGTCTGTCTTATATCTCTTCTATAAGTAGCAGTCAACCACATCTGTGAAGTGATTGGTTAAAATATTTTCATTACATGCTTCTGTAGACAGAGTTTCTTGCTTTTAATCAATATCAGTGGTATAAGCTATTTGAATGAAATTGTCACTTAATCATCTTATGATTCCACTCCTGATCTATGGAGTCAAGTTGCTGGAGGATTGGACTAGATGATGCAATTTTGATTTTCTAGCTAGTGTGTTGCAGGCAATTCGTTTGTTGCTTCTTCTTTTTCTTCTTCATTTTTTTTATGGCAGTAAGGTTACAATAACTCAATAGGTTTCTATCAGGTACGTGCCAGATGCAATTAAAGGTGACATGGATTCAATACGATCTGAAGTACTTGACTTCTATAAAGTTCTGGTATGGCTTTGTTTCTCTGTTTGCATAGGATATTCTTTTCTCTCTGTTGGATTATGTGTGTGATGTCTCCAAACTGGCAGTGATGGGTTCAACTTTCTTGGCAATACCTTGTTGTCATTTGCTTTATTCTTAACATGCAATCTTTCTACCATGTATGCTTGTTTGCAGGGAACTAAGATAATGGATGAATCTCATGATCAGGACACCACAGATTTGCACAAATGTGTTGCCCACATCCGTGGCTGTACTTCAGATATGGATAAATCATCAGTAAGTTAAATCAATTCAAACTTCTTGTTTTCTACGTCTTTGACCTAAGTTTTGATGGTGAAGAACTATATTATGTGTATTTAATCGTGTCTTGTTGCTTTAATTTTTAAGAGAGCAGTCTTGGTAATGAATGCTCTATGGTGCCATAATTGATTTTTTTAAAAAATTAATTTCTTCATTTCTTGTAATGTATTGCAGCTAAGGATTCTTGTAACTGGAGCACTTGGTGGGCGATTTGACCATGAGATTGGAAATATAAATGTTCTGTGCCGTTTCTCTGATACTCGAATTATTCTTCTATCTGACGATTGCCTCATTCACCTTCTTCCAATGAATTATCATCATAAGATCTATATTCAGTCTTCCGTCGAGGGTCCACACTGTGGACTCATCCCCATTGGGATGCCATCTAGAAGTTCTACTACCACTGGGCTCCAGTGGGATCTCAGTAAGTATATCAGATATGCATTATTATTATATGATTGCTATTTTTAGATTGTTTTATTTCTAAGCTTTAATTGAATTTGTATAAAAGGTGCTTGCCTTGACATTTCATGAATGGAATGTCAATTATTGTCTGCGAGATTCCTCAATGAAAAGTCGAGTTTTTTATATGGTAGGAGTAGTTAGTGTACTGCAATTCGGCAAGAACTTTCCTATCCTGTGTTCTGAGTGATAAACTGCACTTATTAAAGGGATGATAATCATGCTCGCGAGATTCCACCATGAAAAATCGATTTTCATGTTGTGCTAAGAGGATTCACGCATCTTGTGTTATGAGTGATCAACTAACTAATTAGCAATTTCTGAGAGCACATAATGTGCAAATATGATGCCATGGTTTGATGGGGCAGATGGTTCTGATGCATCATCTTTTCACTATTTTATTAGTTCATCCTCAGCCTGCTGTTATCTAGCGTATCAGGAATCTATTACGTAACATCTTAATTTATCCGTTTCAGATGATACCGAGATGAAATTTGGTGCTTTAGTAAGCACATCGAATATTGTAAAAGGCGAGGTAGTCACAGTACAGTCGGATTCAGATCTTCTGTGGACAATTTCTATCAAGAAGCCCTAGTATTTTTGATGATTCAGGACACATTTGATCTTTCGGATCTATCATGCCTGCGCAGATGAATCCTACAGGCTATTTCTTTTTCCAACATTTCTGATGTTCTATTTTGTTCTTAACTCTGTGCATAAGGGGAGGTGTATTTAATTGACTTTTAAATGTCTAGGAATGGTGAAATTCTATCCCTTACTAGTCTTGGAATCTCTCTCTCTCTCTCTCTCTCTCTCTCTCTCTCTCTCTCTCTCGGAAGTTACATTCCTTAGCTCGTGTATTATGCCACTGAGTGAAATTAACGGGAAAATATGCCGCCAAAAGACTAAGCAGATGAAGGATCATCCGGTGGATTGTTTCTGGTAATCATCCATCTTCGGCATCGAAGTAGAACGCAGACAACAAGAACAGCATATTTATTAATATATATGCACCCTTATGGGCCTTCATTATATGTGTTCCAGTTACTCGATGTACAGTTAATCGGACAGCTGCATGGCGTAGCTAGCTTGGTTAGTATCTGGGGACTGAAGTTGCTTCGGCCCAAAACAGGAAATGTGTAGACTTGACTATCTGGTTCTGGGAAAATGAGCACAGAGGGCCCTTTTCGGTTGGAAAAGGGGGCAGTGAACGTAGAGAGCTTAAAGGCTAGTGAATTCACAAGGACTCTGCAAGGAGTGTTTGAATGGAAGTTAAATTATAATTTTAGAAATGATTTTATAGTATACGAAATAAATATGTGGAGGAATTTATTTCGATTTGTAAAAAAGTATTTTTATTTTTTTTAGGAATCCAAACACCACCTAAGGCAAGTAAATTCTTGGGTTCTTCTAGAGTACCGTATCATTTGTGCGTCCAAGTTCCAATGCGAGGCATCCAAGTCATATAACGGAGCCCGCTTTTTCTATACGGAAAAACTTTGGAATTGAGGGGAAAAAAGTGATTTTGATTGTAAAGGAGTTGTTGGGAGAACTTTCAGGTAAAAATGGGGATGTGTAGAAAATAATTCACTTTTGCCCATATTTACTTCGACCACTTCTTCATGTTTAATTAATCAGAATCAATTTTTTTCTTTTGCTTTTACACAAATGGCCCCGTAACCAGCTATGAAATCAATCCGGAGGGAAAAAATGTGTACTGTAGTAGAAGAAAAACAGTGATAAACAGGTAGTGATCCACTGAGATGTTGTATGGCTAGTCTAAAGCTCTCGTACTTCAATAATAGAAAGGGAATATAAACCACGAAGGCACGAACAAAAAAAAAGTTGGGGAATGGGATAGCCAGCTGCATTTAATAACGAAGCTCACCGAAAAATAGTTTCTATAGACCTCACCTTCCGCGAGAGAAGCCAGTGACCTCATCTCCGTGAATCGAGATTGGAAGAAACAAACTGACAGAAAAATCTCATTTTCCATGTTTGAATTGAAATGCAAATTAATGGAATGTAGTATTACCTCTTTTTAATATAGGATCTAATTATTGAATAATTTTGATTTTTAATATAAGATCTATTTTTTGTATTTATCAATATTTTTTAAATCATCTTTATAGATACTCCTTCAATCATAATCAAGTAGAAGAGATAAGGAGGATATTAAGAAAGATGATTGTGATGTTTTAAGAAAAACATGTCATATTTCTTATAATTAATTAACTTACTTAACTTTTCTTAATCTAATTAAATTAGTTAAATAGGTCCTATATTAAAGATTAGAGGAGTATAATAATTAGTTGATTAATTTGAGTAGATTAAAAAAACTAGTTAAGTTAGTTATTTGTAATAAATATATGATATTTTCTAAAATATCTTTGCTAATCAAGTATATTAACTGGACTATCATTATTATAAGGACTATCTTGAAAAAAAAATAGATAAATATGAAAGACAAATAAATTAAGATTTTATATTTAGGATGAAAATAAAAATAAAAAAATTCTTATATTAACGAAGGGAGGTAATAGTTCCTGATGATAAAAGTGAGATAATAATGTGGGAGGAGAGTCAAAAGGGACGTTCCTTTATTGACGCGTGGGCTTCAAATGTTCTATAAACAATCTCCATTAATATATCTTCAATTATGTATATCAATCAAGGGTGACATTGATGTAATAAAACTTCGCGAAACCGTCAAAATTACTAAACATGTGACAGACCTTAGGTACTGTTCATTTTGGAACATATGGGATGGATATCCATATCCTAATAAATACTGCGAGGAAAATGAAATCTCAAAATATGATCTTGAGGTTTTTTTTTTTTTTTAACCAGAATCTAAGGGGGTTATTAGCATCTATGAATACTTATAATATTTTCGGTGCCATGAATGTTTATTTTTGAGTCTAATAACTTGTTTTAGTATATTTCTTGCATGAGTTAAAGCCTCTTTGGAATAGCAGTAAAAAAACATTTATAAGTATATTTTATATAAGTCAAGATAAAATTCTTCTCACATGCTTATTTCTTGTTCTACAAATTATGATTAAAAAACTATTTATAAATTATTCTAAATAATAACTTTCACGTTATTTCACGTTCAACCTTTCTTTTTTTCCTTAGCATGTTTTGATTGAGAATTATTTTACAGGAAAAAATGAGAAAGAAGTTAGAAATTACAAATTCCAAATCAGATCTGATAACATAACTTTATTTGGTATTGATAAGTTTAAATTTTACAAATGACAACAATTTTTTTTTGACATTTTCGTTTGGCATTTATAAAATTTCAGTTTTTTTTTTGATGAGAGATGAATTATCAAAATAGTCAAACGCAGCCCCTCGGCTCGGGCGGTTTCGGTACGGAAAACGCCACCGTTCGGCTTGGCCGGCTATTTTTTCCCGAGGTAGGCAGGCTGCGAAAAAATTAACTTCGTTCCCGCTTCGGTTTTGGCGGGTAAACTCTGTAAGCTTCTTCTTTTTGTCACAAACCAAGCATCGACGCCTGCAGGTGACGCTAGTTATATCTGGGGCTTTGTCACTTGAGTCACTGACCAACTACTGATGCAGTAGAGACTCGAGAAGGTGACGGATTCTTGATTGGGGTTTCTGGGCAAGCAGCAATGCCAGTTGAATCACCAGTTATCAAGCCTATAAACAAGGCGGCTGTTCACAGAATCTGTGCCGGTCAAGTGATCTTCGACCTTTCATCTGCGGTTAAGGAATTAGTCGAAAACAGCTTGGATGCTGGCGCGACTAGCATTGAAATTGCCTTGAAAGATTATGGCGAAGAATGGTTCCAGGTCATCGATAATGGGTGTGGTATTTCACCTAATAATTTCAAGGTATTCTATCACCCTCAAATGAGGTGGCTTGGCTTGATTTTAAGAACGTCAGAGTCTGAGGGGACACTCGCATGTAAATGTAGCAGGGCGATACCAGCGAAACCAGAAATCTAGTAGCAAAAGCATAACTAGTAGCTTAGTTGAGCTCATTGCTGTCGTTGTTTAACGTTGCACCTGTATATTAACAGTTATATGTTTAAGTTTTCGAATGACTTGCTGGTACTATTAGTGGCCTGGTATAGCCGAATTGTGCGAGAGAGGGTTATAAGTAGTGTTGTTAATGGGTCTCAGTCTGTCTAGAATTCTTCTCTCTTCTTTCTCTATCCTTTCACAATTTTCATTTATTGCTAGATGCTGAATGGTGAACAAATACTCTGTTTGAATTGTAGCAAATGGGTTCCATTTATTGCTAGATGCCGAATGATTCAAATCAGAATTTTGATTCTACTTTGACTGCTGCTGTGAGGGGGGGTACAAATATGGTTCTGTTAGCTGCTACTTGGTGGGGTGGTTGAGTAGTAAGGAGGTTGATATCGGTAGCAAGTGGGTTATAAGTAGAAGTTTGTACCTTCTCTTACAGGAATTTGTCTAGAACTCTCATTTTTTCTTTATTATTATTTTTTTTTTCTTCTAGTTATTATCATTTGCCTCTCCAAAAGTCTCACAATGATCAATTTCTCAATTTACATAATCGCTGCCAGGCATGAGTTTCTCAGTTTGACATGTTTAGCTCAGAAGTTTGAGTGTATGTATACATTATCTTGGATGTCACCATCTTTTATTCATTTAATTTTTATGTGATTGTAAGGGGCATTTTTTGGGTGCTTGTGTGAAAAGTAATTGAGATGATAGATAATTAGGCTAGCTCTCTCTTAATTAGATAATCAGAAAATATCCTTCACGTGCTGATCAATTTCAGTTACTTTACAGTCGTACGGTTTATAACAGGTTATTATTGCTCAAACATTATCACAGGTTCTTGCACTTAAGCATCACACCTCAAAATTATCAGATTTTCCTGATCTTCAGTCTCTCACCACATTTGGCTTTAGAGGGGAGGGCGTTGAGTTCCCTTTGTGCTCTGGGGGGTTTGACAGTTGAAACAAGAACAAAGAATGAGTCAGTTGCCACACACTTGACTTTTGACCATTCAGGTCTACTGGTAGCTGAGAGGAAAATCGCACGTCAAATTGGCACCACCGTCACTGTTAAAAAGTTATTTTCTAACTTACCTGTCCGAAGTAAAGAATTCAGGCGTAACATACGCAAGGAATATGGAAAGTTAGTTTCGCTATTGAATGTGAGTATCCTTTCCATGGCTAGGTTAAGTGAATGCATACTCTCTGATTCTTTCATTCAATACAATTCTTCTTAGTATAAAAACGTTCTGAAAAAACACATGCAGATGCCAGAACACTCTTTTTCATACCCATCATACTCACCAAAAAATTGTTCTGGTATGCAAATTTTTTTAACGAGTTATCTGGTTTTTATCATGTATACATATACATACATGTGTGCACCCGCGCGTGCGCACACACATGTATATATTTTTCATTGGATCTCTGCCTCGTACAATGATGCGAGCAGTCAAATTCCTATGCTCTCTACAAACTGATTTTTGGATTGCTGGTAATAGTATTCCTGGCATATTTATTGCTGACCTTTTATGCATGGATGCATCACAAAAACATCACTTATTCTCCAGCAATTTAGAGATATTGGCCCTTTGCCTTTGTTTTAGTGTATTATGGTTGTTGCTTTTACATCCCTTCTGCTTTTATATATCCCTCCCCCCTCCCAGATAAAATATTCTTTCTTCTTAATGATATATGTATTTTTTAATTGATACTTTTCTACCATCAATTCTTCAGGCATATGCCCTTATTGCCAAAGGTGTTCGTTTTGTCTGTACCAACACAACTGGAAAAAATGCAAGGTCTGTGGTCCTTAGGACCCAGGGAAGTGGTTCTCTCAAAGATAACATTATAACAGTCTTTGGCATGAACACCTTGAGCTGTTAG